TGAAGCATTTAACATTTCTTTTTATTCAATACAAAAATAAAAACTAACAAACCCGCTCTAAATAACTGAATTTAAAAAAACAACAGTCAAACAAAATCATAACTAACTATTATGAAAAATCTAAACCGAAATGATATTCCTGATCCCACTTGACTTTGGATGAGAGATGGTGTATGGTATGTTTAGGGGTGATGGCCATTTTTTCAGTGGTGGCATGCATTGTCACAGAAAACCTGTGCACAAACGATATAGTATGAGCAAATTATAGCAGCATGTATGGTGAGAAGAAAGAGACCAGTAACAAAATGCATTTAATAGCAAAATCAAATTTGTATAGTCTGTCCGTCACACTCTGATTTTCATTGCACTTTGAATTGTTCATAATATTGTATATTTTTCAGATGGAGTGAATGAGGGAATGTTTGAATCATCATTCACGCTCACAGGTACAGTATTCATTTAAACTACCATGTTTCTTTTGTGAAATGGGCAAGGAAGCCCAAGTGCCTAGAGAAAATGAACTTGTGCAAACATGGAGAGAATATACAGACTCCACACAGAAGGCAGATGTACCAACCACTAGTCTACCATGCTGCAACATTTCGATCAAAATTTTAATTTTAAAATCACTGACAGTGTCCTCGTTCACTCGTTTGTTTGGTTGCAGGCAGCGTGGGTTGAAATCCCAGTGTCAACGCGTGTGTGAACGATCTCTATGTGTGCCTCAGGGTTAACTGTCGACCAGTGCAGGTTGTCGTCTGCTTTTTGCCTGAAGTCCATGCAACCCTAAAGTGTTTCGGAAAATGGAAGGGTGGATTTAAATTTTTACAATGGTAAAGATAATACAATGTTTAATTTTCTAATGAACCACAATCAAAAATCTTATTTAGTCTGAAGAATAGTCTACTTTCTATAACGGTTTACAATACCTGGACTCATTAGGTGTTGTAGTAGAGAATGAGAGGTCATATAAATAATACTACAGTAATCCCTCGTTTATCGCGGTTAATGGGACCAAAACCACCCGTGATAAACGAAAATCCGCGAAGTAGCGACCAATTAACATATACAGATAAAAAAAAAAAAAACTTTTTTTTTAAGTCCGCAAAAAGTCTGCAAACAGTCTGTGAGAAGCTGCAAAACAACAGCGAGTCACATAGAGCAACATATACAGTACTGTACTCCATGTATATGAAAAAAAAAAAAAATTATGAATATGTTTGAAAAAAATCCGCGATGCACCGAATCCGTGATAAACAAACCGCGAAATAGCGAGGGATCACTGTACCGTAATTTAACTTCATCCTATCATGATCCCAAGCTCATCTTACTTAGCGAATCGAACTCGAAAACTATTCATCCATCCATAATTTGACACTGCTTATCCTCAGGGCGTGCTGGAGCGTATCCCAGCTGCCTATGGGCAGTAGGCGGGGTCCACCCTGAACTGGTTGCCAGTCATTCACAGGGCACACATAGACAAACAGCCATCCACGCTCACACTCGCACCAAGGGACAATTTAGAGTGTTCCATTAATCTGCAATTCATGTTTTTGGAATGTGGGAGGAAGCCGGAGTTCCCGGAGAAAACCTACGCAGGCACGGGGAGAACATGCAAACTTTGAACCCTGGAAATGAATCCTGCATCTTTGCACTGTGAGGTGGATGTGCTAACCAGTCTGCCACGGTGCCTCCTCGTCACTTATCAGGAAACAAAAACAAAAAGGAAAAAAAAAGAGAAAATTTTCAACACTTGAGATCAGTGGTGCCCAAATTCGGTCCTTGTTAGCCCCATCCAACCCAGTTTTACAAATCCTTATCAACCTTCTCAAAGCTTGCTAATGAGCTGACCAATTGAATCAGGTGTGTTGGAGCAGGGGAAAAAAATGTTAAAGTTCAGTTTGAAATTATCTTTTACTGACTGGTTGAGTACTTCATGAAATGTGATGACAGGTCCAACAGTTGTGACCTGCGCAGGCAACCGGATGATGGTTGCTATTAAGAGATCAACATTGCCTGATGTGGATGTGAACTCTCTCTCACTGAATGACCCTTCATGTTTGGTCACTTATAACGCCACTCACATCATTGGCTCCATGTTGTTCAGCAACTGTGGCACAACTATTGAGGTGACTATTGACTTTTTTTCTCCTCCATATTTCCCAATTGATCACAATTATTGTGCAACAACGGGGGTATTCTGAGTACGTCTCAAATGTTGCCCGTTTGTTCTCATCCGTCAATTTCACATCACTTCCTTTTCTCTTCAAAAACAGGATGAAGAAAAGTATATTTTTTTCAGGAATCAGATCCAAACCTTACGCGATCCATTGAAAGTTGTATTCCGAAGAAAGACGGTGAAGATTGGGTTCTCTTGCCAGTTCCCCAAAACAGCCACAATCTCCTCAAGTTATGACATTCAGAAGTCTGATTACATTTTCAGCCACTCCAGACTCGACACTTTTAGCTATTTATTTGACGTTTATACGGATGGCAGCTTCACAAATAAGGTGCAGCCAAGTGCTTTTCCAGTGCAGGTCGACTTTCTTCAAAACATTTATTTGAGCCTGAAGGCAGAGTCAGGACTGGCAAATGTACGTTTGTTTTTGGACTCATGTAAAGCCACCCCTGATGACAACCCTGACAATGATGACTTCTATGACCTTGTCAAGGAGGGGTGAGTACTGACACAAACTGCTGTCATAAATAGAAAAGTGATTGTGTATTTCAACGATACAAAATGTCTCCACAAAATCTTGTTCTACCACATTTGCCATCATGAGCATACGCTGGACAGAATTTTGGTGTGTTCCCCCAATTTTGTCTTTATTTTTACTCTTTAACCGACCCAATGACTGTCCACTCGAGATTTCGGTATTTTTTGAAACCTGAACTTGTTCCTTTAAGCTTCAGGGATGAAGGGGTGAAGAAGGGCAGGATTTAGACTGTTTCGGGCATGGGTTGTCAAACTCATTTTTGTTGCGGGCCACCGTTTCCCTTGGAGGGTCATTATGACTGTCAAACCATAAGAAGAAGTCAGGAATAAACAATTGTTGAAGTGACTGTAATGAGAATGCTTACAACAGCTCTGTTATTTATTACATATGAGAATTTGAAAATGTAAAAGATTTTAGCAAGCATCAATCATGGAAGGTGACATGTTTGGTTTGCTTTTGCCGGCCACATAAAATGATGTGGCAGGCCAGATCTGGCCCCCAGGCCTCGAGTTTGAAACCTGTGGTTTAGGGCAGGGGTCCCCAACCGCCGGTCCACGGACCGGTACCGGTCCACAGGGCTTTTGGTACTCGGCCGCACAGAAAGACTTTGCCTTAATTCCGTTTTATTTATTTCGGAATACGAAAGATGTTTTATTTTGAAAAATTACCAGATTCTCCGTTACATCCGTCTGTGTTACGCTTGATACACGTCAAGCCAAGCTTTTCCGTCACGTGACCGATTACGCTAAAAACAAAACGCCGGAGCTCGCAAAATGGGTAAAAAAAACTGCTGGAGATCGCAAATGACAGCGGCCTTAAAAGTGCGTTCGAGACAACTGGATTAAAGTTATGGCTGAATACTCTGAGATCGCCACAATAGTCTCCTATTACCCCGAGATGGGACTGTCTGATTGCAGAAAATCAAGCTCGGGGCTGTGGTGAGTCGTCATTTTCATGCACTTTGAATTTGCGTTGTATCGTATTTTGAAGGCATTAAACATTACCATAGCGATCAGAGTGTTGTGGCCAGATTAGACGCTCTTTGTGTTTATTATTATATTTCGAAAACACCACAGTTTTAATGCAGCTCATACCATATTATTTTGTTGTATTATTTCCGCCACACCTTAAATGCCGGTCCCTGAAAATATTGTCTGACATAAACCGGTCCGTGGGGCAAAATAGGTTGGGGACCCCTGGTTTAGGGTGTCCAATAATTAATGGGACCATCATGTGAACACATTTGGGCCTTTCACAATAAAGAGGAAAAGATAGGAGATATAATAATGAGTAAATCACTGAGTGTCAGCTATGTTCTATATGCAATGTTTTTCCTTACAGGTGTGTCAAGGATCCGTCTTTAAGAGTCGAAACGGTTGATAGATTGTCATTCCACTTGGAGTTTCAAGCTTTCAGATTTGATGGAGACAATGATCAGGTGACTAAACATCACAATCCTCCCTATCGCTCTTTTAACAGCCTTTCCAACTGCATATAATATACAATCAAATTTACTTCCACAATAAGAATGACAACATAAAAAAAAAAAAACTTTGCCATTTTCATGTCCCTACCAATGCTGGTTCAGTATACATCCGAATAACTCTTAATAGGACACATTTTTGAAGAATTTAATTTAAAAAAACGTTGAGGAATGCTCATCAAACACAAAGAATTCAGTCACCTGCCAGCAAATAGTGTTTGCATCTAGAGTTTGTCAAAGCAAAAAAAAAAAAAAACATTTTCTCAAAAAAATCTCAACTGGCTGTCCACGACCCCACCAAAATGGGTCCCCAAACCCCTTCAAATGAGAGCTGTCGATTCTAAAATGTTTTCAATGAACGTTCATCAAATAACACCATGCCATCACACCAATAATGCCATCTTACAGGTCTACATCACCTGCACAATCCTCATGTGCGACGTGAACGATCTCCTGTCCAGATGTGCCATGGGTTGTCTGAACGAGGAGTTCCGCAGGCGCAGACGAGCAGTGGGCATGCAGACCTCCATGCAATCCATGACTCAGGGTCCTTTTCAGTTTGTCAGTGAGGCTCTTCCTAGTGGAGCTGTACATCACAACAATGCTGAGATGATGAGAGAGGATGCTGAGATGATGCAAGCTGATGTGAGAGAGAACGCCGACATGGACGATGTTTATGTGATGAAAAAGAGTGACGCTCCAAAGCCAGGTTGCTTACCTATACTGTAGATCACCACATATGATCGCGTGCACCTGTTAACCGTATCATTTAACATCTGCACTCATGTCTTCTGTCAGTTTCTGGAGAAACCAAATTGAGCAGAGTACGAATGGAAATGAAGAAGATGCTCAGCACCAACATCAGCACTATGGTCTTTGGTGGTGCGTGCTCATTGTCTGTGGTAGTGTCGGCTGTGGCTATCGCCTACCACGCACGAAAGAGCAAAGGAAAGGACCAGAAGCCTCTTCTGGCTTCTTAATGTGACAGACTGACTGACTTACCTGTTCATGGTTGGATGGATTGGTTTGGACCTTTGCCTCTTCGTTGTGAATGTTGTCATGGCAATAAGTTATTTACTAGATAGGGGCATATATGCTAAGGGAGAAGTGTGTAATGAGTTTGGTCATCAAGGTATGATAAAAACAACGGTTATCATACATATATTATCCAGTAATGAATCTCAAGACAATGACGTTGTATTATAAGCATATACTGCGATTGGCTGGCAAACAGCTCAGGGTGCCCGAAGACAGTCCTAAAATAAGCTCCAGTACGCCTGCGCAATCCTCAAGAGTCAAGAGGCTTAAGCGACTTGGATAATGGATGGATCAGAATCTAACCACATCTCCCAAAGTCCGAATGATATGAATACACATCAATGCTGGAAAACCTAGAAAACAAATTTGTTCCACCATTGACATGGGCAAATTGAACTTTGGGATACTTGTAGTCTGTCTCTTTTGTTGAATCTTAAAATATCCATGCATTATCTGATCTGCTTATAATTATACTTCAAAAATGTATTAATTAATATGAACACATCCACTAAAGCCTTTCTTTTCAAATGAATGTTAGAGGGCTTATAGTATTTGATTATTTTACCCTTATATTTGAACGCATCGGGCATAATTCCACTGATGCGGCCATTTTGTGCTACAACACAACTGCTTTGTACTTTAAAAAAAAAAAAAAAAAAAAATCGCCACTGATGAAAATGTAGATGGAGAGTAAAGTGAAAATGACACAATGTATGAATTCTGGATGCCAAAAAGAGGACTTTATGGATTTAAAAAAAGAAAGGATAGGAATTGTAAATGTTTTTTGAATGCACTGAATTTTTCTATGAATGGCAGAGGGCCAATTAAAGCTCTGTGTGAACATAAACCAAAACAGCTTGACTGAATAAAGATTGAAACTGTCAATCATATACACTATAGTAAAAACAAACTTCCAATCGGTCTAGTTTTTCCAGCTGTTTTTAATAACACTGTCCACGTCAACACTGCGAGACGTTCTCAGTACCTGTCGGTAACGTCAGGTGTTTGCTTCGTTTGTGAGGTCAGGTTCACGCTTACTCTAAATGAATATTGGGTTTTAGTTTACAAAAATGTTCATGGTATGGCTGTAACTGCAATCTAATGTCCATTTTCTACAGCGCTTCTCATTCGGAGCACAGATGTACTGGACCATATCCCAGCTGACGTTGGTTACAACAGTTGCTTTGAAATTATTTATGGCTGATCTTTGGGTTCATCCCAAAGCAATTTACTAAAAATAATGTATTGGATTTGTAGAATACAGAAAAATTCACAGAATGAATGGGGGAGAAAAAAGTTCAGCTGCATTGTTCAACACCATCGAAGCATATTTCAAAACACAATTTAACACAGTTTGCAATCACCAATCGTGTCACGTGAGGAAATTCACCAAGGCATGTTGGCACGCTAATGGCCGTCAGCAACAGTTATTCTTTATTCTACGAAAACGAACGAGGTGAACAGTTCAAAGTTGGAATGGGAAAGAGGAAAGGTGGACTTGTACTTTCCTCATTCATTTGAACATTTTTTTTGTAGAAAATGTGGAATTGTGAGAAAACTGGGGTCAGAATTTATTGTAAAAATCAACAACATGGGGGCAGAACTTATTGTAAAAAAAAAACAAAACAAAAAAAAAAACAAGCACAATGTCCGGAATTTTGTAAACATTTGGAAGATTTCAAGTGTTGAATAGGTCGAGAAATAAAGACAAAAAGTAATTGTGAGAATGCTCTTTATTATTCACACAACAAAAATAAACACAGGATCAGAGAAATAAGACCAAAATAATGAAATAAACTTGAACAAGAGTGAACATGAGATCACTCGCAGGACAGTTGTGATCTACAGAAAGCATTTGATGCTTCGAACCATATCTTGATTCATAAACTGGAGCATTGCGGGATTAGGGGTATGGCCCTGAACTGGCAAATAACATACTTAAAAGAAAGGCTGCCGTTTGTGAAATTGGCTGCGTTTCAAAATTTTGGGACATTGTGTGTGTGGTATACACACAGGGGTCAATGTTAGAAACAAAAATGTTCATATAATATATTAATATATGTAGTTTCCCACTGACTGAAATTTGATTCGTTTGCAGACGACATAAGTACTCTGGTGAGAAAATGCAACATTGTTTAGATATAATTACCTCAGAGTTCAAAAAACTTAAAATATGGGTTGATAAAAACAAGTTATCAATAAACCTAATGCAAAATTAATTGCATTTGGAAACAACCAAGTAAAAGTACTAATTGACGAATGAATACAGAGATAGTAGAGGAGATCAAAAGCTAGGAAACAAATGTTCAATCCAGAGCTCGTGCCAAAAACAGATTACTGCCATCAGGTAGAGTTATTGCAAAAAGTGCTTCCAGACAAGAGCATTCAACATGCTCAAATAATTTGAATTGGAAATTACATACAAAATGCTGAATTTAACATTTCTGGAGAGAAGACTTCAGAGGAGTCCTGCCCGTTCTAGATTGTTCTCAAACAGCTTCAGGAAGATGATCTCTTTCACCGGTCCGACAGCGTTGACCGCTTCTGTTGCCATGACTTCTTCACTGGCTGTTTGCAAGACCAGTTTGTTCAATTTCCAAGATGGCCGCCACAATCACCCTATAGACTTGCAGGGGTGTCCAAAGTCGGTCCTCAAGGGCCGCTGTCCTGCCTGTTTTCCAGCTCTCCCAAGAGCAACACACCTGATTCAAATAATCAGGAACGTTCTAATGCTGCGTCAGAGCTGGCTGATGAGGTGATCATCTGAATCATTTGTGTTGCAGCCGGGAGAGCTGGAAAACAGGCAGGATGGTGGCCCTCCAGGCCCGGAGCTGGACATGTCTGGTATAGAGTCTATAGCAGGGGTGGGCAATCCCAGTCCTGGAGGGCCGCTATCCTGCATGTTTTCCATCTGTCCCTGTTGCAACACACCTGATTCAATTGTTCAGGCCTCGACAGAGCTTGCTGATGATCTGATCATTTGAATCAGGTGTGTTGGAGAAGGGACAGATGGAAAACATGCAGGATAGCGGCCCTCCAGGACTGGGATTGCCCACCCCTGGTCTATAGGGTGTCTATAGTATAGACACAAAATATATCGCATTCGAAACCCACCGTGAGTCTTCAGAGAATTAGAAATTACGCAAAAGTTTTTCTCAAAATTTTATAGTCTACGCAAAGGGCACCCAGCATAACTTTCAAGTCAACTGCGAGTCAGAATAATTGGAATGTTTTTAAGCAAACCTCCCAATGACAACAATACTTTTAATGTTTTAAAGGTTCGCAATAGGGTTGATCGTCCACGGGAGAGGGGGTGGGGCGCGCAGAAGTTCATCTCCTTTTATGTCCATAGCAGTCCAAGATGCAGAGGAATGGGAAGGCATGATTTAAAAAAAAACATTTATAGTAAAGCCGGGTCCGGCCTTCCTGAGTGGAACTGTCTTGTTCTGTTCTCTCTGTGCCTGCGTGGGTTTTCAGAGTCCTTAGGTTTCCTCCCACATTCCAAATATATGCATGGCAGGTCCATGGAACACTCTACACCAGGGATGCCCAACCTTATTGACTGAAAATCGACTTTGGAAATGATTAACCTCCCGCGATCGACCCGATCGCGAGCGTGCTAGCATACAAACTTGCACACACGCGGGTGGCAACCATGCACATGTACGCATATGCACGCACGCCACGATGAGCAACAGCCTTAACGGTCCCGACAATGACCAAAATCGAAATTTAGAGACACACAAAGCCCCCGACCCCTCGCGATCAAGTTGGGATCAATCCACGGGCTATCGGTCGATCGCGAAGTGATATGTTGAATGCACCTTGCCTGACTATGGAATGTGTTACGGAGCCTTTCATGGATCAAGGAAGAATGAAATTCGATTGTAAGACTTAAAATATATATGTTGGTGATCTACTTAATAAATCAAATGTACCCCCACCTCATCTTTTATTTTTTATGTAATTACAGTGTGTGTCGAATGTCCAGCAGGAAAAAAAACTTTTTGTCCATGTTCAAGCTAACACCAAGATCAAATACAGTGATCCCTCGCTATTTCGCGGTTCGATTATCGCGGCCTCTGTGCATCCCGTTTTTTCCCCCCAAAGTACTGCATTCAGAAAAAAATGACTCAGCGCGATGTCGACCAATGACAGCACGAGTGGATCTATCCCATGATGCAGTCATGTTGATTGGCTGTGCATCTTTGCAGCCCTGCCCAGCAAGCGCCCCATGTGTCTTATCACATGGGTTACTCTTTGATCAGTGTCTAATCACGAGGTTGCAGATTAGTGTTGTTTACTACGTATGTTAGTGTGTGCCCGTGCGCGTGTGTGTGTCTGGGGGAAGTGAGAGAGAGAGAGAGAGAGAGAGAGAGAGAGAGAGAGAGAGAGAGAGAGAGAGAGAGAGAGGGCTTGTAAGGAAAAAGCAGCACGAATTGTTGAATCATAAACACATCGGCTGTGCGCATCGGGATAGCTGGCCAGCAGCTCGCTGGAGGCTACACTGTCAGAAGTGCCTAAAGGGAATGCTGATTAATGTTAATTACTGTGTAAGGTTCATAATGAAATATTTAAGTAAAATGTGTACTGCTAGAGTCTGTGTCTCAAATATGTAAATTATAAATACAGTTTACATATTTTAAACATGCTGGTACCCACAAACCCTTACGCAAAAATTCCTAGGGGGGTGGGGTGGGTGGGGGCAAACCCGACTTCGCGGAGTTTCTCGGTGGTCTCGGTCCCCATTAACCGCGATAAGTGAGGGATCACTGTACAGGTATTGAAAAATCAAAGTTTTGGTCTTTAACTAAAAAAGGAAAATCTGTTTCAGTGTTTTATTGAAAGTAAGCAATAAATAATACTGTGATAAAAATAGTTTAGAAGTACTCAGACTGTACATTGTTACAGGAACAGACAATACAAAAGGGAAGAGCAGGACAAACAAGAGCAACATGATTTCCACAGGCCACGAATGAGAGAAATTACAAAAAAATGAAAATAGAATTTGTAGTTAGACTGTACTAAAGTGTTAAAGAAAGCTGGTTTCTTCCAATTTGCCATGGAGCTTCATGTGAAACCATTGTGAGTGAGACAAGACCTAAGGGGTAGAAACCGCCCCAACAATGACAGAACTTCAGCTTTGATCGTGAAGACACAACATAAATGACATAAATGAGTAATAATAAATAAAAACAAGAAGACAGAGTCTAGTTAAGAATAAGGCTTGATATAAAGTCTTTGTAAAAAGTTTGTAAGAAATGTTTGAGCCTGTCTACTTGCAGCAGGGATTCACAGAGGTTTCAGGTTCAGTGAAATTGGTCCGTCCAAGCAAAGAGTCTTTTCTGTTCTTCTGCATGTTAAACCTCTTCCTGTGCAGATAGGTCGTCTCCAAAGATGAGGGCTTTTTGTGTGTGTGTGTGTGTGGTTGAAGAGACAGGCTAAAAGTTGATAGGGACGGGAAAGGGAGAAAGGAAAAACAGTTCTTGCAAGCAAGGTGAACGAGACAACCTGGAATTTTACTTTCACTCGCATTTAAAGTGGCCCTAGCTTTATTTTCCTACTACTGATATATGGCTTTAGTTTTTTTAAATTCAAAACTTTCCATTTGGTGTATGTATATATATATATATATATATATATAATATATATATATATATATATATATATATATATATATATATATATATATATATACATACACACATACACACGCACGCACACATTCACACATGCAATACTGTGATTCACGTGATATGTGTTGTCAACATCACCTGGCTTGCCAGCAGTTATTTTAATGGTGATGGTCACAGTGTTGAGCAGTTTTCAAAATGGTCTCCAGCAGTTTCTGATATTCACACACTCGCTGACCTACTTAACAGCCGCATTTCCATACAAATAAAAACACAAGTAATATGCGACAAAAACTTGAACAGTTAAAAAAAAAAAAAGGGGGGTAACGATACAGAATTAAATTATATCACAAGTCACTTAACCATTGATTATATTTCAAATCAACAAGGAAGAAAAATACATCCGATCAAATAAAGATTATAAAAAAAGATTAGATAAAATGTCTGTTGGTAGAAATATACAAACTCCAGACAGTTGAATCATTCAGTTACATAAATCTGAGAGGTGAAGAGCACAGTAAGGAAATGTAAAAAGTTGAAAGCGATTGAGGCAATAAGATTACACTATATCCTAAAATCATATAACTGTCCCATTGGTTTACATAAATAACAAATGCGGATACATCGACACAGTTTCCTCTAGGGACACTGAGATCGGTGAGTGAGAGCTCTCTCTGTGATGGGATATATTTTTTGTGTCCTTAAAACAAAATCTGTTAGTTCATCATCCTGGTCTTGAAAGCAGGGAATTCCCCTTCGTCTTCAGACCAACGGTTACCTATAGAAATAATGAGGATAAACTGAGATGGGAAAGAAGGGGGGTGAACAGACACAGGAGGGGAAGCAGAATAGAGGACAGGGACGGATGGGAGGGAGGGAAACAAAAAGAGGAAAGAGAAAAAGCGTGAAACGTGCGTCGCTTGAGCTGAAAAGATCAATAAAGCTATGCTCTGCTTGTGAAGAGGATCGCTTGCTGAGATGCAAGCCACACCAATTGTGTGCCTGCGTGATGTGACGTGATGTGATCTTACCGTTGTGTGAGGTTTGTGTTAACAAGAGTAGGTCCTGACAGTAGCAGTGTCCAGCCTCTGTATAGACTGGCTTCCTGCGTGTGCATGTTGGCAAAACAAAAAAATAAAAATCACATGCAAAGACATGCCGTTAGTCACAGCATCGCAAACTGCACAGCAAACAGGCCATTCAAGATAAATGAAAAGTACAGACTCTTCCGAGGCCACGACAACAAGGCATTTTTAGCGCAAAAACATGCACTGACAACTGTCACTTACCTTCCATTGGGCTCCTCTTTGGCTGTGTGGAGGCAGATGAGGCGTTGCTGCTGGTCACCCTGAAATTGGCAGGCAGAGTGTCTGACACACCCAAAGACATCCCCCTCATGTCTTTGGGCCTGAACTTCTTTCTCCATGACGGAGCTCGACGGAAGTTCTTGTCGTCGTCCTGGAACAAAGAAGATTCAAGAGAGAGAGGGGGGAAAAAAAGTTGGCTTTTTTTCATCCTGTCTTGCGACTGCAGACGTGCTATGTCCATCACCTCTTCCAACCTCCTGTTGGTACCAATGGCCAGCAAGCTGTTGTACTCCCGCTCAAGAGTTGCTCTGGCCTAGAAGGGAAGGAGAAGGGCATTAGGAGAGAAGAACTGAAATTACAGGCCACATCTTTTGGTTTCTGTATTGATTAGCGTCTTGCATTAGCAAGGCCCACAAAAAAACAAAACAAAAAAAAAAAAAAAACAGCAGCATTTTGAGAGTAAGAAGCCACTCCAATGTCTTGCTGCCACCTACAGGAGTACATATGAAAAATATCACAGTATAAGCATTTTTTTGTTCCAGTGAGTCAGATGCAGGGCGGGGAGTGGGACTCATTATCAACTCTGGGGTTTCAGGGCTCAGACCGGCCCACTTTAGGTCGTAACGTTTTACTGAGATCCACATGTACTCATCAGTGTGGCAATCTATAATACTGTAGCTGATCATTTCCTCCAACAATATTAATTGTATTTGATGAAAAATCAAAATGACAATTAAATGTGCTTACAAGAACGACAATCAGTTTTTAGTTGAACAAGTATGAGAACATAAATAGTTCAAATGGGCAAAAGGACAGGAAGGGACCAATTTATCAGATGCTGTTTCGCGAGCACGGATAAGGCAGCTCAGACTGCACTTCCTGATGGTGTTCGTATTTTCAGACCTATTCACACAACTTCCAGTGCACTACTACTTAGCAGACAGACGTGAACTTTACGACTGCCGCACAGCGACAGGAAATGGAGATTTTCCCATCATGCTTTGTTGCCGTTAGAAATACCACTTGTGACTGTGTTATGGCCGTTTAATGAGTTACTTTCAGCCCTGAGGATTTCGGAAATTCACGGTAACCATTTTTCAGTTCCGTCAGACTACCCAATGGGAAACCACGGTAACTAATTTCGGGTTCCGTAAACGTTCATCATGGGAATCCATTTTTCTATTTTGTCTGATATTCATAATCAAGAAGTCTGATACTCAAAAGCATAATGTTTAAAGGGTAAATGTTTGAAAACTATGCATTAACAACGAACATTACGTCTGCAGCTGTGTACTCCAGGTTTATTCACAAAGTCAATGGATCAAAATATGTTGTTTAACACAGGGGTCCCCAACCGCCGGTCCGCGGACCGGTACCAGTCCGCCGGGCATTTGGTACCGGGCCGCACAGAAAGAACTTGCCTTAATTCCGTTTTATTTATTTCGGAATACGAAAGATGTTTTATTTTGAAAAACAACCGGATTTTCCGTTACATCCGTCTGTGTCACGCTTGACACACGTCAAGCCACGCTTCTCCTTCACGTGACCGATTACTTCAAAACAAAATGCAGGAGCTCGCAAAATGAGTAAAAAAACTGCTGGAGATCGCAAATCACGGCGGCCTTAAAAGTACGTTCGAGACAACTGGATTAAAGTTATGGTTGAATACTCTG